TAAACCTTATTTTCAATAAGCAATCCTGAAAAATATTTGGGGGTGCTTAACTTTTTTCCAGGTGTATATATCAGCTACATTGTATCTTAAAATAATGCTTTATAAGTCAGTAATAACAGTTAACTTCCTAGCTCAAAGTTTTAACACCCAAATCAAATCCTTTATTTTCATTTATATGTTGCATAATAGTTGTGTTCTCTATGTAATTGATCCATTCATGTTTGTCAGATTTTTATATATGGGTTTGATTCTATATAGAAGGTGTCTGTGATAGATTTCAACAATAAACAAACAGCACACAGTTCACTTGGTTTGAAATAATATATTAAAACAAGTCAAATGTATATATAAATGTTTGTTACACAGTTGTTTATCATAGTTGTATCGCTAGCTTTAAATAATTGTCTCTTTTTTCGTCAAACTCCACACAGGCTGATTCAGTTACTTGAGAACACAATTTGACAAGATGAATTATTCTTTCTACTCTGTTATTACAGTACAGTTTGTGATAGTTTCACATTAAAATCACCACTATAATGGTTGGTTACCACAGTTGTATCCAGAGGTTTAAATAATTGTCTTTATTTGCTGAACTTCACTTTTTCTTTCACTAATAAATGGACAGCAAACAATCCACTTCTTCTTAAATAATATATTAAAAACAAGTCAAACGTATGGACAAAAAAATCTTTAAACTCTAGGATATCACAGTTTTATCTAAAACTTTAAAGAATTCTCATTTCTTGTCAAAAGTCCACACAGGCTGATTCAATTACTGTAGATTCCAATTGGCAAGAATTATTTTCTCTACTCTTATCACAATAGTACCAATGAATAATTCACTTATGTTACCCCGTGGATTACCACAGTTGTGTCCCGAACTTCAAATAATTATATAAATCCTTTTTGCCAAAGTTCACACAGGCGGGTTCAATTACTTTAGACACCCTTTAACAAGACAAATTATTCCCCTTATCTCTGTTAAACTCACTTTAAAATATCACCTGTTAAGGCTAATCACTTATATGCAGGCTAACTTCACGTTTTCTAACTTTTTTCTGACTGAACCTTTCTTAACTTCACTTTACTTTGTACTTCTTTAGTTCATAACTTGCACTCGCTTGGTTGCCAATATTTATACGTTGACCACTGAGGTTTCAAACTTTCTGTAAAGTACGTGAATGGCTCAGTTAACAAGAAAAATAGCGAAGGTTCAAGTAATGACATCAACAATATTAGTAAAGCCTTGACAACAATCTAATTACAAACACAACTTACAACTCCTATCAAGTTACATAACCAAACTTGTCATAACTGTCGCTTTTAAAATGATTAACTTTTAACTCTCTTGTTATGAAAAATTAAACAGTCACTAAATATTAACTCACAAAATAAAATAAATAATAATGCCTACACTAAACAGTCTTGTATATTCAACAATCACAGCTGTATCTAAAGCTTTAAATAATTGTCTTTTAATAAAATAAATAATAACTTACATTAAACAAGTAGTGATAGCTGTGGGAAGGTTTCTAGAAAATTCAGTCTTACATAACAATACTGAGCTACATTTAAATGTTTAAGTATCTACATATATTGTTGATTCTTACTCTCAAGAGTCTTCTTCAACTTTGGAGAATAGGCGGGAGTTTTGCAGTACATATTTAACACTATAAGCTACGCATGTTTCAAAATATAAACTTAATAACTATAATAACAAATTCGTTACACAATTGACAAAACAATTTGCAATAAATTCACTTACATTACCCCATGGATTACTACAGTATTATTTTTTTCTACTCTTTTATCATAATTGAATCAGTTTGAAATTCACTTACATTGCCCATTGGTTACAATATAAACTGTGAAACTCGCGTTAGATATTGCCCATTATGGCTAAACTTACAATCATACAGTCTAACTTCATTTTCACTAAGATAACATTTACTTCACTAACATAAATTCTTTATCTGTTTATAACACATGAAAGAAAAATCTAGCCCTCTAGTAGCAACAATATTACACATAACGAGAAAGACTTGGAAGTTCGAGTAAGATGCCATCAACATTATTACAAAAGCCTAGTACAACAATTAAACTGCATACACAAGGTACAACTCATACGGAGTTACATAAGGAAGCTTGTCTTAATTATCGTTTTTAAAATAATTAACTTCTAACACTCTTGTTATGAAAACTAAATAATCATTAAATATTAAATCACTCTATAAACTAAATAATAACTCTTAAGTTAAATAGTCTTGTATATCTAACAATATCATAGTTAAAACTTGAATATTTATATACCCAGTCTTTCTGCTTATGCTGCAGCATTACTGCTATAAGTAGGCTAATGTAATGGCATTAAGATTATAGTCAGTCATTTCTATGTAACTTAGCTGAAAATATATAACTACTATTTATACCTTATGTCAATCAATCTTAAAATGTAGATTAACTAAGGAGAAATAGTAATGTGATAATACTTTTAAATAACACAGGAAACTGTAAGAAGTTAACAGATTCTGCATGGAAATAGTATAAATTTTGGCTTCCAAGTACTTGATAAAGATTTTATATTTCAATAGATTGTGTTTTTTATACAAGTAATTTGAATTGGACTTTTAAAATTATTTTGTAAAAAGGCTTATTGCAAATTTCTAAGAAACATTTTTTTAGGTGCTGGTTATTATCTAAGAATAGCAAAGGGAGATTTGTGTGAAATGGACCAAGTGACTCAAGTGGTGCAGAAACATGTAACAGATGCTTATCTTGAGGACAGTATGAACACTGAACTTCTCTATTCACTAGCAAGTAATCAGACTTCATCTTTTCCATCCTTGTTCCATGAACTGGAGAAATCAAAAGATAAGCTTGGTATAACAGCTATTGGTGTGTCTGTGACTACCATGGAAGATGTGTTTATGAAGTAAGTGTTATTAATATCCCAGTTTTTGAAGTAAGTGTTAGTAATATCCCAGTTTTTGAAGTAAGTGATAGTAATATCCCAGTGGTACAAAACTGTTATAGTTGAAAGTGTGTGACAATATTAACCTCTTCAATGATAAGCTTCCTTTGGAAATGAGCTCGAAAATAGTTGTTTTTTATTTCACCTTTTTGATAACCTATACTTATATATTAATGAAACAAAAGTTCTTTTAGGATCTGTTATTATACTTCTGTACGAAATATACTTGATAAATAAATGTTACATACAAGGATTTGTATGTGATATGTATTATTTCAATGAAACTACAGTAAAGAACAGGAGTGATTTTCTCCAATGTTTGATATATAATTCAGAATAAACATGACAGAGATCAGTACAAATAGCATTTACAATGCTCTTTAGCAAGCACTGATTGTAATTGAGGATAACATGTGAATAAATATGGGCAAATAATTAAAAATAAGGTGAGAAGTTGTTTGCCCAGATCTACTTGGGTAAATTATAGAAGATATTAATAAAAGAATAAATACAAAACAAACTGTTTGTCATGGATGAATATTTCTTACATGCAGATTTTTTCTATTATATTTTGTCTTCTGTGGACTTAAATCTCAGGAAATCCTGTACAAAAACATTGTGGTGAAAAGAATCGGTTTAAGCTAAAGTGTTCATAATATCTCTGTCAGGGTTTGTATATATGGGCTTGGATTCCTTACTGTAGGTGTCTGTGACTTGTTTGTACTAAATTTGAACAATAAATGGACAACACAGAATCCACTTGTTTTAAAATGATATATATATTCAAAACAAGTCAAACATATGTACAAAATTTTTTGTTTTATCTAAAACTCTAAATAATTCTATTTTCTTATCAAAAGTCTACACAGGCTACTTCAGTTACTTTAGAACCAAATTGACAAGATGAATTATTTTTCACTACTTGTTTTTTTACTATACAATCTGTGATCGATTCACTTACGTTGAGTCCGGCATGGCCAGGTGGTTAGGGTGCTTGACTCGCAGTCTGAGGGTCGTGGGTTCAAATCCCCATCCCACCAAACATGATTGCCCTTTCAGCCATGGATGCATTATAAAGTAACAGTCAATCCTATTATTTGTTGGTAAAAGAGTAGCCCAAGAGTTGGCAGTGGGTGGTGATGACTAGCTGCCTCCCTTCTACCCTTTCACTGCTAAATTAGGGACGGCTAGCACAGATAGACCTCGTGTAGCTTTGCACAAAATTCCAAACAACAAACACTTATGTTACCCCATTGGTTACTACAGTTGGATCCAGAATTTTAAATAATTGTCTCCTTTTCGTCAGAGTCGATACAAGCTTGTTCAGTTACTTTAGAACACCCTTTGACATGACAAATTTTTCTTTATCTCTGTTGTTACAATACCACTGGGAAACTTGCTTTATAAATCACCCATTATGGATAAACTGACAATCACTGTCTAACTTCACTTTTTCTGGCTGAACTCTCTGTAACTGCACAAAGAAAAACTTGGAAGCTTCGAGTAATATGACATCAGCAATATTACTAAACAATTAAACTGCATACATAATGCACAACTCGTACAGAGCTATGTAAGGAAACTCGTCATAACCATCTGTTACAACTCTGGTCGTTTGTTAATTTACTGTAAAAATTCTTCCCAAGGAACTTCAGCAATACAAGTCCTT